TTGTTTAGTAATTGTTCTTTGGAAAAGAATGTGTCTCTCTTTTAGCACTGTATAATGATTTGGATTGGCTTTATTCCCTCTGTCTATTCTCATAAATCTCTTTATTTTGGTGGGATTTTGCATAAAGGATTGTGGGGAATCATAGAGATTCTCATGTTAATGGAATTGCCTTTATTCTCTTATTTCTTATTTGAATTCGTTTTACTTTCTTTGCTTATTTATTAATCATAAGATTAGTATATATTTATGAGAACAACCATACCCTTTCCATATGCTGCTTGAACTTGATATTTGTTAGAATGTTGGATAGAAGAAACCAAGAAATTTAACTTGGCTCAACGAAATATCCCACTGAGTTCCTAATAACTTTGAGGCTTATGTTTCTATTCATATAAGGGGGGAGAGGCAGGCAACTAAAGTGAAGAAATTAGTTATGGGGCAGCCATACTCTTTGCGCCTTGCTTCATGGGTAATGCTCTCGCAGTTGACATTAATGGTGGTGATAATAAGGGCAGGAGCAGATAGCAAAAATGGATCATCAGGAGGATTATTTTGGTCAGCAGCTAAAGAGGAACAAGATCTGCTCCAAGAGGCTGAACCCAAAGATGATTCTACCTCATCTACATTAGTTAATGATGTTGATGAAGTTGATGGTGGCTTCTCTTCCCTTGACGGAATGTTACAGTGGGCAATAGGTTGGTTTTCTTTTCCCCTATTATTATTCATTACAAAGACAACCACAAATTTTTTTTTTTAGGTTTTCTCCCCAGTTTTGTCATTTTTATTATTGTTGTTATTGTTCCTGATGATTTAGTACCTATTGCCATGTTTATTTTGCATATTTTCTGATTATTTATCTCATCTTGATGTCTTTTTTTTCCTTGCACATTTCTCTGTTTTGTGCATTTATAAACAGATCGACTTAATTGTTCAATTCCTTTTTTATGTAATCCTAGGTCCTAACCAATGCCTTCTTCCCTGTCACTTTTAATTGTTACTGGGAGCTATGTTATTGAATTAGATATTGGATGTTATTTTTCACATTTCATTTTTCTGTTAGGGCATTCTGATCCAGCCAAATTAAAGGAAACAGCTCAAGATGTCCAGCATCTGTCTCCCAATGAGCTTAAGAGGCGTCAAGAGGAAATAAAGGTGAATATCATCTGGTATCTGTAATACCAATATCAGAAGCCAAATTAGTTTGTTGTGTTTTGTTGATAAATATTTAATAAGCTTGACTAGACTAGAAAGGTATGATGTTCACCATTTTGTCTTCCTTTTTGCTAATTCTTTTTTTAATAGAATTCCTTTTTGCTTATCTTTCTGCCACTGCATTACATCAGATGCGTTTACTTAATCATTGTGCATTTTTGGAATATTTGATTCTTGTATTGTGCTGGCACCAGGAACTAATGGAGAAGCTAAAAATGCCATCAGATGCACAATTGATGCAGACAGCTTTAAATGACTTAAATAATTCCTCTCTGTCTTTGGAGGATCAGCATCGTGCATTAGAGGAACTTTTGATACTAGTGGAGCCAATAGATAATTCAAATGGTAATTACAGATTGATTTTCTCTTTCATAGTCTTATCTGCCTAAAACAAGAACAATTTTTTTCTTTTTGAAATAAAAAAACAAGAACAATTTATTAACAGAACTGTAGTATTTGCTGGGTTAGGTGTTAGATTTGGTATTCCCTTTTAGGATTAATGTAAATCGACCATGCAGAACTAGCTTTTTATTAAGTTCTCTTGAAAATTTTCACTGGTCTTGGATCTGCATATAACTATGATGTGGCTTGATGATCTTCTTCGCTCACAAAATTTCAAGGGTTTGCTGTTGATATGTGAAAACTTTTGACACAAAGCAAGAAATTATTTTGAGTATAAGATTACATCATCTGGTGCATGCTTGACTGTAGTGAGTCTGCAGGCTGTATAGTCTTTCTTTATAACCTAAGTTGTATACTCCGTATGTGATGCTGTCTGCTTCTCATTCTCAGAAATAAGTATAGGTTTATACCTCTCCAACCGTCTACCCAGTTGACTTTCTAATGCTACGGTTTTCAAGCTTGTTACACTTGGATGGTCATTTCATTAAATTCCCTTTTGGGATGGATTTTCTGACTCCACAAGGCCCTTGGAAAAGCATGCTTGTAGAGCTGAAGCTACAAGGAGTTATACATCATTGATATTCTTGTGTTTATTTGATGAGAGCTTTTGATCTAAAACTTCGTATTTCATCTGGTTGAGTCATGCATGTGTAGTTTTTAGTCTGCATACATCCTTAACACTATATCAACTCGTCTGCATGAAGCCAGAATCGCTACTAATTGCCAGTCAGCCATATAGCGGTAACTCTGTTTTTTATTCTAGGCTGTGAGAATTATTTGTAGAGGAGTAGGTTTGGAGATCAGCCAGTACCAAGGAATATATCTTTGCCTTTTCATATATTATGAACTTCTCAAATAACTAACCTTTTATTTTCCAGATTTGAGCAAAATGGGGGGCCTCATTGTTGTTGTAAAGCAACTTGACCATCCTGATTCAGATGTAAGGAGAATTTCTGCATGGATACTAGGGAAAGCAAGTCAAAACAATCCATTTATTCAGAAGGAGGTATTTAATGTTTTTTTTTTGTGGACTTGCTGAAATGCACTTCTGAATATTAAGTCGCTTTTGTTTCAATGATATTCATCTTTTATGTTTTATTATGTTCTTTGCCTTTACATTCCCCTTCCCCAGCCCATTGTATCATTTTTGTGCCTTGTTGGGGATTTCCTTCTGTTTTTATGAGTTATAGGACTTTTAAAGTGTTTTAGGTCCTACAACTTGGGGCTTTGACAAAGCTAATGAAGATGGTAAAAGCTAATTTGGTTGAGGAAGCCATCAAAGCATTATATGCTGTTTCAGCCTTGATAAGAAATAACTTTGCTGCTCAGGAGATCTTTTATGCAGCAGCTGGAGAGTTGCTCCTTCAGGTGATCTCAGGACAGAAGCAGTTGCAATGAATCTTAAATGAGCTGCTGACAATTTGAGTTGGCATCTTTTTTCAGGATTTATTGAGCAATTCGAGCATAGATGTTAGATTGCGCAGGAAAGCTGTGTTCCTAGTAGGTGATTTGGCTTTGAGTCTGTCAGAGAATAAGAAAAAAGCCGAGCCACCCATTTTCAGTAATCACTTCCTCTTGAAGTCTGTAGTTGATCTGACAATGTCTGTTGACCTTGATCTTCAGGAGAAGGTTTGCATATAACTAGCAATTGTTTCCGATGAATCAACTAGTTTATTATTGGAATGCTTCAAATTCCTTGACAATACATTCTTTAAATGTCTCAGAATGAGAATCACAACTTTAATGGTAATTTACGTATGCCTTAACTAATTTCACGTGGCTGGGTACATGTTTCACAGGCCCTTGTTGCAATTAAGAATCTCCTGCAACTAAAAGTTGTTGAGGATCTGGTTTTAAAGGACTCTTGTGGTTTGCAAAGTGCCTTGGAAAAAATGAAGCAGCAGCTACATCATTTAATGATGGAGGAAGATCACAGAGATTATGCAATTGATGTGGAAAATCTGCGCAAAGAAGTGGAGTCGCTATTCCATGAAAAAAGGGGAGTGGTAGGAATATAACAACTCCTTGATTTTGCATTTAATCAGAAAATCTTTCATTTAATAGAAGTTTTGTTAATGGCAGGTAACTGGGGTTCCCTGCCATACATGATTTCATGAATGTGCTCGTTCATGAACATGCAGCAAACACCTGCTTTTCGTTCTTATATTTGGTCTGCATTCTATCAAGGTTGTATTCTTCAGTAAGTTCGATACGGGCCAAAATCTTAACAAGTTTTCCTATATGTTGCCCTTTTTCTCTGATATAGGTAGGGGAATTAGGGTGACCTGATAGATACTGCTATATACGAAAAGAGAATTTTTTAACACGAGGTATAGTTCTTCCTCGGTGTCTTATAAGTTTAAAGATTTTAACATCGTAGATTGTCGGTATACTACTATAGGGTTTTTGCAGCGATTTTGCTGTCTATGAATATTATCGACTCCATGTAAGAGTTTATAAGCAAACATACTTTTTGTTTTATCATAAAAATATGAGTAATTTCCTGTTTGAATTGTTGGGTTTCTCATTGAGCTCTGATGGGTATACAAAGATTAAAATAGGTTTCCAATTTTAGATGAATGCTCAATGGATGTTATTATGGTGCATTTGGAGTAACAGTTAATTTTGGGTCTAATTGTTTAAAAGGATGTTTGATTCAACTTCTCTTTTAGTCAAATTGGTTTTTGAGCGGATTTGACCAGAAAATAAGCTATTTAAATGCTTGTTTTATATGCAATATTGGCTTACAAGATAGGCTTATATATGTAGCACCCGGAAAGGAGGAGGGAAAAAAAAAAAAAAAAAAAAAAAGGGGGGGGGGGGCACGTCAGCAGCCACGTCAGCAGTCCCGGCCAACCGGGGCCTGCCACGTGGCAAGATCGCGTCACTCCAAAAGGAGCCACGTTGGCGATCCGCGTGGGTGCGATCCGACGGCCCAGATCAATCACGCGATCGGACGGCCCAGATTCAATCGCACGGACGGCCCAGATTCAATCAAAAACGAACGGCCCAGATTAAAATAAAATGAACGGCTGTGATCAAAAGGCAAGGGGTTATAAATAGAACCCCCACACCAGACCACAAACCCTAGCCGCCAACCGCTCGCCGGAGAAGACGAACCAGAGGCCGACCGCCGCCACCCGCCGCCACTCGCCGCCGCACCGGGGAAATTTCCGACCGCCGATCGAGGTAAATTTCATACCCCCGACTCGTTTTTCCCCACTGATTCCTCCTATGGCCAAATCGAAGCCGAAATCCCGGCCAAACGGCCGGAATACGCGGCCGAAGCCCAGCGGCGCCGCGGCGCCCCCTCTCGGTTTTTGCCTCCGACGAGGCCCTTCCCGGCCTCCGTTCGATGCAATTTTTATATCACCGTGATCACCATTCTTTTCTCTACAGGTTGACCGGAGCCGAATCACCAAAACACGAACCTCGCCGGAGAGCCGCTGCACCCGAGAGCGCCGCCGTCGGTAAGCTCCGTTTTTCCGTGATTTTTTGGCCCCCCGAGGGCCCTAGGGTTGTTTTCTGACAAGGACCAATGCGAGTGTGGCCGAATTCGGCCGAAAACGGCCGAAAACAGCCAACCCGAGGCGACTCGCCGCCGCCAACGGCGGCGCCGTCGCCGGAGCACGGCGGAGCCGCCGTGCCGGAGTTGCGATTTGGGCCGAAAGAGGCCCTAGGCCTAATTTGGATTTTTTTTGGAACACGTGCAGGTACTCTTAGTGTGTTTCAGTTTCCTGGGAAAAATTCAGGGAAAATTAGGGACGGCCTGCAGGCGCACTGTGAATCGTATTCGGATCTCGAAAACAAGTAAGGACCCCTCACCCTATTTCCTATCACGGTATTAAAGTTCAAAATGATAAAACGGTATTTCTTGAATTAACGCATGTGTGAAATTGCTTAAGGTTGCTAATGGAGCCCGAGTCTAGTGTGATTGATGATTTACTGTTATTTGGCCTGTTTACAGCTTTAAATGCAAAATGAGGTTTGATGTGTTCATTTTACAGATTTGTGTGCATGTACTACATTTTTATTAATTATGGGTTGAATGACTGAAAAATTGATACTGTATGTTGTCTGTTTTGTATGAATTACGATTTGCTTGTTTAAATGTGAATTGATGATGCTGATTGAGGAAAAGGAAAATGAAAGATTGTGTAGACTGATAATTATATTATGGGGGTCAGCCTGACTAGATATCCTGGGAGATGGTGGACGGACCGGGTCCGTAGGGAACCCTACCGGGATTGTGGTCTCACATGCCGGACGGGGCATGGAGATCTTATGGTTTTGGCGCCCATACCGGACGGGGTATGGGGACGGCCCGTTTCACCCTCATACCGGACGGGGTATTGAGGTTTATGGTTTTGGCGCCCATACCGGACGGGGTATGGGGACGGCCCTGGAAACTGATTATGAATGTTAAAGGTTAACGGGTAGCGGGACCCCCATGGATACTAGTAGGCTGGTAAATGAGAAAAAGATATGTTGTATAATGATTGAATTATAAAAGGCGTGATAAGTGCTATGCTTTACAGCTTATATTATTCCATGATTGTGATAATGTTATTATTTTTCTTATATTGTTTTCATAAATTCCACCGAGGTAAGTGGATGGTAAAGGTTTTCATGTTAATAAACGAGTTTATTGTAAATTATGCTCCATTGGTCTTTTTGTGGTTTTCTACCCACCTTTATCTCCGTGACGGTGAGATATCGTGATGTTCTTACTGGGCTAGTGTAGCTCACTCCTTAATTAACCATTTCAGATCAGGAAGACATGGTTCCCGAGCCCGTTCCGCAGGAGGACGACGAAGGGGATGCCTAGAGACTCTGTAGTCATACGCATAGTTTATTTTCGAGTTTTCTTTCTTAGTTAGTTTAACCTTTTATATTTTAAGTACGTTTTTTTTAGTTTTTTTTTTGTGTAAGGGATGTTAACTGAAATTTTGATCTCGCTTCCGCATTCGACGTATTTAAATACTCATTTCTTTTTAATATTTTCCGGGGCCGTTACAATATATAAGACAAAAATAATTGTATTATCAAGATTTATTTTTCCCTTTTTGGTTTTTAAGATATGTTAAGAAATCAATTTTTGTCTTTTATAATTTTAATCAAAATGTTTGTATTATAACTTATCAAATTTATTATGTCAACTTTAATTATATATAAAAAGTAAAACATAGAGCAAAAACTAATTTATGAATCATGATTTTTTGACACGATATACCTAACTGTGAGTACTCTATCTACATAGGCGGAAACAGGAGCGTACTTCAAAATCATGCAAACAAACTGGTGCTTCACAATCAAATTTGAGTTTGAATGCAAATGACAACTACATCTTTTCACCAAAGATACTGCAACAGTGAAAACCTAAGCAAATAAACCCTAGCCAGGAGACCTATGAGCTGGATGGATACGGATATAGAGACACTTACTTTTTACAACTACATTAAAATTAAGCATTTCTGGTTAGACCATTTTACTAGTTGCGCCCGGGAAAGATTGATGCCATGATGCATTTGCCGCAGTCGATATCTGGTATGTGATCATAATAAGCTACTGTGAAATGAGAAGCTTTTCCTTCTCAATATCACAGTTTGATGCTTTGATTCTTGTAACCCCATTGTATTTTATGATGTTGATACAAATAGGATCCGCGACTTTGTTAGTCACAAATCGTAAACCTTGTAGCCTTACCAGAAGCCTGGGAGAAAAGAAAGAGCAACAATATCTAAGACTAAGCGGAATTCACTTAGGAACATCATTCGGGCACATTTTTGCTGGGGATAGTAACATGCAAGTAAAAAACTGATTATGTGGCAAAGACATGCAAAGAAATGATAATCAGCAAAGCAGATATTTTATCAAGCTATAAGCTAAATGGCGTAAGTACTAGTAACAGGTGAGAAAGTACTAAAACTATGCCTAGCAGCAACTCTATATCGGGATCAATCAGGAGCAAATATAATGGACATCCAAAACCTAATGAATGACATCCAACAAAAGAATAGGAAAAGATTTACCATGGATGGGTGTTTCAGAACAGAGATAGAGCAAACGTTATTTCCATGGTCACGGGAGAGCAGAAGCCTCACATGTGGGATGCTCTTCCAACTCTCTCCAAGAGCTGGTTTTGATATACCCCCCTCACCGCCCACAGTGTGATTTGTCACCTTCAAGAATAGTTGTGAGTTACAGCAAACTAAAGGAAAATGAAAACTGATCCCCTGTTTATATGTTACAATAATCAATTATATATTGGATTTTTTTTGGGTGATATGCAGCCATTTCTGATATATTTCCTTACAAAGATTCACAAAAAAAAAAAGGGTGGATGATGTGTGAAAAAAAAAAATGAAAAAAGAGTTACTAACCATCCTATGTCCCATTAAAAGGTCTATGTACAGATAATTAAATTAGGAATGATCCAATGATTCAGCAGACATGCTTGGATCAACTACTGATGTTTTTGAATTCCCCACCAAAGATTCTACAAGTATTATGGAACATAGTGCAGGTATAAAGTATGAAGAGGATGTAAAAGCAACATTTACAGCATGTGAAAAAAAAAAAAGCACATACAATCTTTTTTTCTTCACTCGAAATATTATTTTGTTCCCTTTCGTAACCACTCTGTTAACCCAAGAACATAGACCATAGGATTCAGCATAGAACAGGAAAAGAACCTGACCAGAAAGATGATATCATAACGATGTTGTTGACATTTCGGGAATTAGGTCTGAGCTATTGCATTTATACATGCGACCCATAAAGAAAGGAACT